TATATTTATTATACTATTTGCTTCTACTAACATATTCGCTTATTTGCTTCTGCTTTAATGTTCAATAAAAAGTTTTAGACGATTAGCGTGTACGCGCATTGTTTTCCGTCCCATCCTGATCGAAAAATTTACGTCGTTATGTTTATCGAGAATCAGGTAGGGACCGATCCATTTTGATTCTAGTTTTTTAGATCTGCCCCTTCGAACGGTTTCATCGAATAGTAAAACGTTGTCGCCGACCTTAAATGTTTCCTTCTTTGTCGTTTTATCGTACTGTTTTTTGGCTTTAATTTTTTCTTGTTGCGCGTGTTCTCGGGCTATTTGATTTGTGGCGCGTATTCTTTCGCGAAGTTCTTGTACGTAATTGTCGTACGAATACGTTAGTTTTGGCGTCTTCGATAACGCCGATGGTAGAGTTGCTTGATAGCCGTACATTAATTCAAACGGCGTGAAACCCGTTGCCGTATGAGGAGTAGTATTATAGGCGAACATTGCGTAGGGTAACCACTCGTCCCAGTCGCTCTGTTCCTCATTAACATAATGCCGGAGATATTCGGCTAACGTTCTGTGTGAGCGCTCTAAGGCTCCGTTACTCTCCGGATGATAGGCTGTCGTTTGTATCTTTTCTATTTTCAATAGTTTGCAAGTATTTTTAAACATCTCGCTAGTAAAGTTAGTACCTTGATCGGTAAGGATTTTATCCGGCGTACCGTGTTCTACTATTATTTTGGTCACGAATGCTTTCGCGACGGTAGCCGCTTCTTGATTATCTATAGGAATAGCTTTACTGAATTTAGTTAAATTGTCCTGGAAGGTCAGGATATATTTATTCCCATTGGTTGTGACAGTTAATGGCCCTACGATATCTAATGCACATTTTTCAAACGGTTTCGTAGGCGTGTCTGTAATTACTAATGGCATCTTCGTCTTTTTACTTAATTTGTTCTTTTGGCAATATTCACATTTGCTTATGTATTCTTCGACGTCTCGAGTAATGCCTCTCCAGTTATGTAGTAATCGGATACGGTTCAGTGTCCGCGCGACCCCCTGATGCCCCCCTAACGGAGCGTCATGATACTCGTATAGTATGCGGCGTTTCTCCTCAGCCGTATATTCTTTAATTGTTTCTTCCTCTTCTTCTTCTTCTTCTTGCCGTCCTTCTTCCTCTGGATGGATGAGATTGACGTGTGGGTCTCCCGTAACTGGATTTCTGCTTAATGCATCGGCATTTGTATTGCATTTGCCTTTTTTGTGTACGATTTTATAATCATACTCCGCTAATTTTAGTCGCCATCTAATTAATCTAGAACCTGGATCCGTGACATTGAATAGCCAGATTAATGGTCTGTGGTCTGTCACGATGGTAAACGTTGTACCATATAAATAGGGTCAAAAATGTTTTACGGCCCATACTATAGCTAATAGTTCCTTTTCTATCGTGCTATAGTTTTGTTCGGCTTTATTCAAAATTCTACTAGCATAAGTAATCGGTCGGTCTCTGCCTACGGGACCTTGTGATAATACGGCTCCAATTGCATGATCGGATGCGTCGGTCGTTACTAAGAATTCACGAGAGAAATCCGGGTAACTTAGTACGGGTGCCGACGTGAGTTTTGCCTTTAATAATTCGAACGCGTTTTGCTGTTCCATGCTCCATTCAAATTTTACCCCCTTTTTAGTTAAACTCGTAAGAGGTTTAGCAATTTTCGAAAATTCTTCAATGAATTTCCGGTAATATCCGGCCAATCCGATAAATGATTGCACATCCTTGATTTTTCTTGGTATAGGAAAATTGTTTACAGCACTTAATTTGCTTGGATCTGGTCGTATTCCATTTTCAGTAATTATATGACCTAGATAAATTACTTCCTTTCTAAGGAAATTGTACTTGTCGGGCTGTAATTTTAGATTATGTTTTCGTAAACGCTGCATTACTTCAATCAGGTGTTTGTTATGTTCTTCCAAATTTGATCCGTAGACGACGATGTCGTCCAAATATACGAGGCATCTTAAGCCTTGGATTCCGGCTAATATTGCGTTCATTAATCTTTGAAAAGTTGCGGGTGCATTCCTTAACCCGAAGGGCATTCTATTAAACTCGTAGTGCCCATGCGAAGTGGAAAACGCTGTTTTATTTTTGTGTTCCTTGCTCATGGGAATTTGATGATATCCCGAGGCAAGATCTAATGTAGAAAAATATTTCGCGTTTCCTAATTGATCTAGAATATCATTTATATTCGGCAGAGGGAAAGAGTCGCCTATCGTTAGCTCGTTAAGTTTTCGAAAATCTATCACGATTCTCAATTTCGGCTTCTCTGTCGTGTCGCCTTTCTTTGGAACGACCAGTAGTGGCGCGTTCCACTGACTCGCGCTAGGTCGGATAATATCTTCTTTTAGCATTTTTTCTATATGTCGATTTACCTCTTCCTTATGTTTTTCTGGTAATCTATAAGGTCGCACATTTACAGGTGCGCTATTTGTGCGGATATTTATTTCATGCTCCACAGTGGACGTGTACGTTAGCATATCTCCTTCTAAATGAAAGATATCGCAGAAGTCTTCGCATAATCGCTCAATGGTCTTCTTTTCCTCGTAATTTAAATGCTCGGTTCCTATCTGCGCTCGTATACGCTCGCGGCGTGTTAGTATTGGTGAGTCGTTCTTGTTACATGCCGTACGTAGTGTGAGTATGTTCTCGCGGTCAATTGCCCGCAATTCATCTATTGTCACGAGCGGTGTTATTATTTCTACCGTCTCTCCCGTTGTATTTAGCATACTTATTGGGCAAGCATATTCTTCAGGTGCTACCAGGCAGTTGCCAATAAATACTCCTGGTCGCATTTCTTCTGATTTTACTATTCCAATGCGATTTTTATCTGTTACCGCTTGGATTATGGTCTCGCTACGAGGAGTTAGCGTTAATTTTTTATATGGATGGAGTTTCAGTGTTACTCCATCGACTTGAAGATAGCTTTTTTGATCGCTCTTAATTTTATGTTTCTGCAGGAAATCCATCCCAAGTATTCCTGCGTAGTCGATAGGAAAATCATCCTTCACTACGTGCATGGTGTGGCGTATTTCTTTATTTTCTATTATTACAGACGTCTTAATTTTACCTATAGTTTTAATTTGATGGCCCGTCACTCCGGTGAGAGCCATTGGCTTTTCAGTTATGAGCGTTTCGCCTTTCAAATTCCCTACTTTGATTAGTGTTAGGGTGGCTCCGGTATCTAATAAGAGATTTATGCGTCCCTTTTTCATTTCTTTTATCGGCAAAGTTACTAATCTGAGACCGATATTCGCACGATTTCCAGTTACTTGCGTAATCTGATGCTCAATTGCCGCTCGCCTTTTCCGCGTCTTCGTTCTCTCTTCTTCTTCGCTGCTAGCATATGATGCTTCCTCGCTATCGCTATTTCGCTTGCTCCTTCTCGGTTCTCTCGCTTTTATTGCGGTGTTTACTCGCTTTGTTTTATTATCCGCTTCGCGTCTCGCGCGTTGTCGCGTATCTCTATCGGGTCGTCCGTTAAGTATCCAACATTCGTTTCGATTATGTCCCGCCTTTTTACAATAGGTGCAAAATTTCTCGACGGTGTTTATTCCTGCTGGCTTTTCAGCACGAGGCAAGGTAAATTTATTTGCATAACGGCTCGTCCGACAATTTTGACCGTAGTGCCCTGCTTTTCCGCATTTGTGGCACTGTATAATTTTATTTTGAAGCGGTCCACTTCTATTTTGATTACTAAATGGCGTTTTTAAGGAAGGGCCTTTAATTTTTTCTTCCGCGCTCGCGGCGTTAATAGCCTCTTGCAGAGTAGCATATTTTTGCGATCGGACTATCATTTTGATGTCCTCGCGCAATCCTAATTCGAAGTTTAATAGTGCTTGATCCTGAATTGTCTCTAGGATCGCTCGTTTCTGTTCGTTTGTAGGATTTCTTTTTTCTATTAACGATTCATATAATTCCATCGCTAATTGATCTACGCGTCGTCCGTATGTGTGCGCGCTTTCACTCGTTTTTTGTTTTAAAGCGTTAAACTCTAATTGAAGATGCGATGTTCCGCGTCTTCCCAAATAGTTTATCTCTATTTCTCGCCGTAATTGTTCGAAATCTTGTATGCTTCTGGTTTGAAAATCCAGTAAGAGTTTTCCTTTCAATTTTGTATTTAATATTTCCTCGAGCAAGGCTGAACGTTCCGCGAGGTCGATTTTTTCCATCGCGTAAGTACTGGCGCTTATAAATTCCTGCGTCTTATGACGTTGAGATCCGTCGACTTCGGGTATCAGTCTACGAGCGTCCTTCAAATGTAGATATCCCGTCGGCCGGTTTATCAATTCTCTTACATCGTTTTGCGTTCTTCCGTACGTGGCGTTTAACGATTCTGGCCTGTCGTTAGGTCCGGTGAGTCGAAAATTTTCGCGCACGTTACTATTAATTTCCATTCTGTCCATCCTGTCTTGTAGTCCGTTAATTACTACTATTAAACGGTCCAGAATTTCGTCCTGTCTATTTCTTATTGACGGTTCGACAGTTCCCCTTAAACGTCCTATTTCCGCGTCTATTTCCGCGTTGGCTATCGGCGGGTTATTCCCGGCGTTAACATCTCCACGCGGCGTCTGAGGCGGATGCGTTGCCATTACGCTAGGGGCGGAATTAGCTAGAGTGGGTACGAATAAATCACTTTCAAAAGATAACAACGAGGGCTCTCGTTGCTCGCGCCTATCGTTCCCTAATAAGCTTTGGTCGACTTCCTCGAATGGGAATACACGCTGTATAACGAGGTTCGGAGGTTGTTCCGAATCCGACGCGCTATCGCTCGAGTATTGAGTGTCCAAGACACGGCGCGCGTTGTCACGTATATCGCGTAAAGCTTCTCCGATTATATGCACGGGACTTATCTGACTAACATGTGGCCGTCTTGGTACGGGCTCACTTAGTATCCGCGCGGTTGGAGCGTTAGGACTATCGCTATTATTTTCGCCTTCGAACATTAGTTCGATTACATTGGCGATTTAATATAATTTATCGGACTTACATTAACGCTGCTAATCGCATGTCGCTTTGTAGTCGGTTGCTCGTTGCTCGAAGCTGCTGAGTCATGCTTGCGGTAGGTCGCCTCTCGGGTTACGCTGCTATCTGCGTCCTGGTCGTCGGCTGCTCTATCGGGTGCTCGCTTTTGTTTTTTGGTGTGCTGGCTTCTGCGTTGCCTCCTTGGGTCGCTCCTTCGCCTATTTATTTGGTACACCTTATTTGCAGGCTGTTTGCTGCCGTCGCTGCTCTCGGGTCCTGGAGTCAGCTGTGTGGATCCCACCGCTGCCACCAATTTGTTGTGCCGCTATTTGCGACACGGGATTCGGGATCCACCAAGGATTCGGGAGCAGCCAATAATTATTAATCACTTTTATTTTTTGTAACTTTTATATATTAACAATAAACTTTATTCAATTCACTTTAATACACAAAGATATTATTTCACATAAATCACTTACACTACGCGTGTCGCGATATAACTTTAAGATCGTATTCGAGCAGAGTGACGCACTACAACTTGTTAAAATTACTGACTCCACTCTGCTTCGGTCTTCTCATATTTATTTGAATTATTGAGGTCTGCGACCTTCATATTCGGCGCTTCTCGTCAGCGTTCCGCTAATCGGTCGAGGGCGTGATCGCGTAATCGCGTCGCGCTCGCGGTTTTAATATTATATTAAACTTATTATTAAACTTATTTCGCCGCGCGTTCCGGTAATCGGTCGAGGGCGTGATCGCGCAATCGAGTTGCGTTCGCGATTCATTTATATTATTAATTTATATTATTCTTATTTCTCGTCTTCGTTATTTCTCAGTTATGGCGCAATTGTCACTTGTGCAATTTAGCACTCGTGACAAGGGGAATGTAGAACGACTAGGAAGGGGAAAGAAACCATATTATATTGGAATATGACTCTGGCAGAGAATCCGTATCATTTTGTCTATTGATTGAATGCTTTTGTCTCTTAATATGCACCATTTCCGAAATCAATCTTTTATTATAGGATGGTTCAACATCCAAAATTTTTACGTTCTTCTAATCAAAATTATGGTTCTTTTCAATACGACGATTTGAGATGGCAGAAGGAGATTTCACTTTTTTTATTGATGTCGGAAAAGTGCTCATGTACTCGTGTTTTTAGTTGCCTTTTTGTTTGGCCAACATAACTGACATCACAATCCTCACATGAAATCTTATAGACTACGTTTTGATTAAATTTAATGATTTTAATTGGTCCTTTCCTTTTCTTATTAATTTCATTAAAGTATTTGGGATTGTAAGCTAGTTTACAATTAAAGTATTTGAGATGTAGACTAGTTTACAATTAAAAACATTGACCAACGGTGCAAATTTTTCAGAAATAGCATTAACATAAAGAACCGCAAGAAACATTCCATTAGTATTATTCTGAATAGTGCTATTTTTTTTAATATGAAATTTTATTGTATTATGGATCGTCGAGAAGACAAATCGCAATAGATATCCATTATTTAAAAGGATATTGATAGCATTAATAAAATTAGCCACGTGGATGGCACAAACATATTATCTTTTCAACGAATCCATAAATAACGCCTCTTTTATGATAGATAGGATGTTGTGAATCGAAATTTAGGAATCTTCCAGAAAAGATTGCCTTACGGTATCTGTCAAAAATATTATAAATCTGTTGTCTTTAATAATTAATAGTGTATCTAAGAAATTAATCTTACTATCCGTTCCAACCTCCACTGTAAACTGTAATCTGGTATGCAAGGAATTAAAAATTGTTAATATATTATTGACAATCTCAGAAGAAGCAGCCAAAATAATATCACCAACATATCGGAAATAAAAAGGCAAACGGACCGGCAACATACCAATGGCAATTTCTTCTAAATTCTGCATTACGATATCAGATACTATTGGAGAGAGAGGGAATCCCATGGGGGTCCCAAAAATTTGTTTATAAATTTTATTATTAAAAATGAAATAAGTGGAATTTAAGACCATACGAAAAGCTACCATAAATTCATCAAGTGGAATTCAATATAAGTCTCACTCGATATAACTCCTATAATAATAGATTGATTTCGGAAATGGTGCATATTAAGAGACAAAAGCATTCAATCAATAGACAAAATAATACGAATTCTCTGCCAGAGTCATATTCCAATATAATACGGTCTCTTTCCTCTTCCTAGTCGTTATACATTCTCCTTCTAGTTTATACCTCACTTTCAGTTTCTTTTTTCCTTGTCACCATGTGTTGCGGTACTTGATATTATAAACAGCTTGTTTCATCCTTTGCAATTTACTCCAGTTGAGACTTATAATATTTCTTCTATTGACAAGGTATTTTATTTTTATTTTAATTATTATTCTTTGTGACGACATTTTAATTTTTATTGTTGTTTCCTTATACTGCGGTGCTTTTTAGATAATATTGTTTGCAACCTTTGACTGATAAATATTTTACATAATGGACAACCATACTTTTTCACTAACAATTATTATTGACTTCTATTGTTCAAGCATCCGGAATTCAGACCGGAATTATAATCAAGCGACGCGGTAGCGTCGCGACGCCAAGTGCATAAAATAAAAATATAACCGTCTGACATGATGACATGATACTTGATGTGTGTATATGTTCATGTCGATGTCAAATTCACGACGCTACCACTAGCTTTATCTCGAGTTTTCACATCTTGAAACTTCAGATTAAAATTACTCAGAATTTAAAAGCAGAATCAAAAATCTAAAAACACTTTTATTATATAATGTCATCGGTATCTTTCGATTGCGACTAGTCCGAATAAAATTGGTGCAGCCGATACCGAGATCTAGAGACCGAGTCCCGAAAAGGGTACGTTTCAGTTATGTTCAGACGTACGTGTGACACATACATATATTTTTCAATCGTACGTGTGACACATACATGTAAAGCGTTTTGTCCATTAGGCTGCTGTTC